ATATATATATATATATATATATATATATATGTACATATATTTGTGTGTGTGTGTAAGATTAATCTATGAGGAAGGAGTCAAGAGCATATCCTAGAGTAAGGAAAGCTCACCAATAAAAGGTATTGGTGACTCAGACAAACATCAGTACTTAACTCTACACAAAAATTACTTTACAATGGATAAAAGGGGCTCCCTGATGGCCCAAGGGGTTGAGTGTCAGCACTACGAAGCTATTTGAAGTCACTTGCAACACAAGTTGCTCTCCAGCCAGGGACCTGACCCACGTGGCACAAACCTCTCTTGTCTCACCTACTGCTCCCCTCAGCAGTGTATTTCAGTCAATCCACCTGTTCTTTTCCCACTCAGTCTCTGGTGAAGGTGAATCCTCTTACCCCCTGCACTTCTGGCCTGTACCCCAGTTCTTGTGTGCATAAATAAATCTTTTTTATAAAGTGGACAGAAGATTTGAACATAAGATCTGAAGCCATAAACTACATAAAGGCTTTTACATTTTCTGTACATTTAGTCTGATTTCCCCTATCTATCTGATTCATGTTATATTTTCCTTTTAGACTGTTAAAGCGGGAAGAAAGTTTCACATTCATCCCTCGGTCCCGTGAAGAGCTTCCAGACAACTTTCCAAAAGAAATCCCTGGCATCTGCTATTTCCTAGAGGTAAGGACTGGTCCAAAGCAGCACAAGCCTTCCCTTTCATCATCCAGAATAAAAAAGGTTTCCTACAACATCGGCACCATGTTTCTCCGGGAGACAAGCCTCTAAGACCTGCTGCAGATCAAAGACTTCTCCTAAAAGCACAAGCCCAGAGCCTGGGTCATGGCTGGAGAGCACGAAGAGATTCTCTTTCACTGCTTTGTTGTGACATATGGTGGGATTCTGTGTTCTGTCAGGCAATAACATTAGCAAAAGATGGGCGAGGATACCAAGAAAACACTGGAGGGCTTGGGGAACGAAGGGGGTGTCCATCTGTGAGTGTTGCTGGTCATATATATATTTTAACTACGGGCCCCTTTCAAAACTAACCACTAAATAGATTCTATGTTCTGATGTTTGTCACACATACAGTTACATTTCCCTGTATATTTGTATCACTTTTGAGAGCCAGTTTTGATTCTCTATTCCTACATGTAGTGAGTAGGTATGTGAGGAATATTTTCTAATTTTGTTTTTCTGAACAGACATTTCATACATATATCATGGCCGTGTGGTAAACTTCCCAGCAGGAAGAATTGTAACTCAGCAAAATATTTTAGGGATATTACCTATTTTTATACATATCTCTTCTAGATAATTACATTTCACATACCACTATTAGATTTTCAGAATCTGCTACTGTGTAGTTGGTATATTACGTAACTCTAACCTATTAATCGATGTTTGTCTGCTTAGTAAATATATCTTTTCAGTTTCATCAGTGTAGCATGGAATCCAGAGGGAATGGGATTTCCTAATAGCAGATATGCCTGGGCCTAAGATCAAGAAAAGATCTTTTTGTCATCTTCTAACAAATATTAGTGCATATCAAATGAAATGCTTTGCTCCTTTGAACCCTTTTGAACTGAGCACTTACAAGTGTAGGTAGTTTTGGTCACATGCTAAACTGCACTCTAATAAACTGCATCTACTAAATGCCAGTTTATTGATATCTCCTCCCTCAACCCTCCTTGGCTATCTCCTGAGGACTGACTAGCACTCTTGGGAGCACATTCTCAATACTGGCATTAGGCAGAAAGAGGTAAAGAACACTTCCAAGGAGGCTATTTCTTCTTCTATAATTAAAAGGAAAAACCTTCATGTACCCTGAAGTAGATCTAACCTTCAGACCAAGTTATCACCATAGTTACACATAGGCTTTCATTGCATGTTGTGCTAAAATGAAGACCTGCTCCTGCCTAACACTGCATGAAAATATTATCACAGACTTACCCTGAAATTGGGAGCACAGTGCATCCAGTTTTCTGATTTTGGAACAAGTATAAAATCGAAGTTTCCATTGAGGTCAATGAGCTGGAAGTATCTGTTGCCTTGAAACTGTGGGGTGGCCCTTTTCCTGCTCCAGTTTTTTCTGATCAGAGATTTTGGCTGCATTACAATTTGGTCATTGCTTAATTCTATTGTCCAAAATGGACAATAGAATTCGTGAGGCTAAATCCGTGTTTTCAAGTTCTCTAAGTGGGTAGTAGGCAGTATTTATAGATCTGCAAAGCGTTCGTCATTTAGTGATGACTTCCTCTGCCCTCTCCCTGAGATGATGTTTTCCATGTGGAGGAGAGAGGACCTAGACCTTGACAGCTCCAAATTCCTACCTGCCTGCCTCTTCCCTGGGTTTAGACCTGTTTGTTCAGTACCCACAGTAAGAAGACCAGGGTATTTAGGGGAGGCTTTGCAGGCTGAGGACAAGGAGTAATGACTCACAAAAGAATCTCTTCAGGGACCTGGAGATTAACCCACTTCCTTCCCAAAGGGATACAGGGGAGGCTTACAGTCAAAGTGTGGACAGAATTGGTCAGGAACGATTCATTTCTCATGTCAAGAATAAGAAAGGCCTTAACTGTCCCAATGTCCTCTCTTTCAAGCTGGGTCTGTGGGCAATAACTAAGTCCATTAAGTCATTCTTATCTGACAGTATCTGGAGCTTAAATGATACTATAAATCAAATGTCTTGGTGGTAAAACTGCTTTTCACAGCATAGGCTGAAAGGACTCATCCAACCTTTCTCTGCTTTTGGTAAAACTTTAAGTAATTATTGTACACATATGGTTATTCTCTCTATAATTATGGCTATATAGGGGAAGCATATTGTAAAAGTATCATTGCAAATCCACATCATTATCTGGTAGTTGGTAATAGAACATAAAATAATTGTATATGCGTTCAATTTGTCAGAAGAATCACAAACTCATGGCTTACATGAGTTCCCATAGAAAAGAAGTAACCATTTATACAGACAGGTGTTGCAATGAATAACATTTCAGCGATGAGACAGGATGTGAGCTGCATCTGTCTGCAACTTAGGAGGCAGGCCTCTCATCTGTTTCCATTTGCCAAGCCAGTACAGTTGATTATCATTCTGTTGCTATATGTGTTTGCAGGCTACTATATAAGATGGCTGTTACTCTAGCTGCAGACACAGGATTTAGTACTTGTGGAAAAGCACGGTATTTTTATTTGTCCCAAATAGTCTCGATATCTTCTCCTGGAATTGTGACTCTAACTGCAGGTGGCAGTGTAGCTGGGATCTCATTTGACTACTATCAGCATGGTATTTTTCACTTCCAGTTATAGATAGCACATATTTTAGTGTTACCAATTTAAATCTGTATTCTAACAGGTGACATTAGAAATACAGTGGAATTGAAATTGGGAAAATGATTTAACCCACTCTACAAGGGGTACTCTATTATTTGGCACATATAGCTCCTCTGTCTTAATGTTCTTTTAAGCAGCTACTTGAAGTTACTTTTTTACTGGCTGTTAGCCAAACTGCCATTGCCATCACCATCATTTGGATGGAGAGAATCATTTGCAAATACATGCATTATCTTACAAGACACACCCAAAGCCACAGTTACCATGCACTCCTGAGACTGACCTTCTGTGCTAATGAAGCTCCTTGTGCACCTTAGTCATTACACCTCATGGTATAGTAGAAAGACGAACACCCAGTGCCTGCAGAATATAGGGGGTGGGGTCAGGTGACAGTGTGGTGTGGACAGAGACGGACGTAGAGTTTGTAACAGCACCCAACTCTGTGTAAACCTTCCTCAAGTTCATTTCTTCTTTTAGACTCTAAATTGCTTCGGATTTCTCTTTGATCCCCGGCTCTGTGGCTCAGTGTTGCACAGGGGAACTTGCACCGCCTATGCTGTGCCTTCCAAATGGCAACAGTGGCACAGTATGTTTGTAGGTTGACATGAGGGTCCCTCCAGGAAGAACAGGAAAGTAGAACAGCAGCTTGAGAGCTCACTCATAACTGCAGCACGACTTTTAAGTTTGCAGACTCCTCCATAGAGTTCCAGCAATGAAGCAAAATTAAGAGACAAAAGGTAAAGCACAGAGATTTGGAAAACTAACAGACTGTGTATTGTACAGAATCCTATGGCTATTAACTAAATGAGTATATTTGAGGTTGTCATATGTCAAGAGGGAACTCAAGATTATGGCCATCAGTAAGATAAATTTGATGTTGTAGATCACCAGGACAAGGAGTAAAACTTCTCCACTTAGGGGTCTTCTTGTCCTGTTCTTTTGGGCTCTACATTGCTCATGCCCAGACCTGTTCCTCCTACACACTCACTGGAAACCTCCTCAGCCTTTCAAGCTTGGCACCACCAAACAGCATCTCCTCTGCACTTCTGAGGGTGTGGACACACAGTGTTGTTTAGTCTGGTTCAGGCAGATAGGAAGACCTACACCTCTCCAGGCCCTGGAAACAGGTGCACTTCTGCAGTGGACTCACCATTCTGTAGTGTGGGGCCATTGCTAACATGCAGTTTCTCCCACCACCTTTTCCTCAAAATGTATTCTGACTTGATGCACTGGGTGCAACCTCATTGAATTTTCCTTCCAAACAAAGTTTGTGTGACTGAAGACTGAACAGGCTTTGGGTAGCACCAGACCCCTGTTAGCCATTGATAGCTAGAAACATCAGTCGAAAGTCCCAGCCCTAGATCATAGCCTGGGTATTCCTATTAGGTAATGTCTGAAACGATAAACTGATGTCACTTCAGAGACTTCTTTGGGCATTTCTTATTAGAAACAGCCTGAAAAGCATGATGCATGAGACTAAAATAACACTTAACATATCCCAGTCCAAATGATGATTCTTTATGGGTAGCTCTTGATGTGAATATACTTAACTCACAACCAGCTGATTTAACACACACATAAATTGTGTTAACGTGACTGAATATTTTATGGTTAAATGGATAAATTGACCCCAGTTGCGAACTCAACTTCAGGTTCCTTGTGGTGAATAATGAACAGAGGTTTTATAAAGATTAGCATAAACACTGACAGAGTATACTAAGATAGTGTGCAAAATTCCTTCCTCACACTTGACTCAAACAACTGAAATCTAAGTATTAGTACTGTCCTCCACCTTTCTGTTTTCTTCCTCCTTTCCTTCTTCCTCTTACGGGGGGGGGGGGGGATAAGCCATCTGTATATTTATTTCACTGGGAGAATCACAACCACTTACCATCTTATGTTGTAAAATAGATTTATGGTGTCTTGAATGTTCTAAGCTGGTATGTGTATGTTTGTTGAATGTAGATGTTCCATGATGTTCCATAGAGATGTTCCATGTAGATGTGACATTCATTTTGCAAGGACTTGGGATGTAAAAAATGATTTCTAATACGTTGTGACTAGACCACATCATTAGTCAAGTGCCTCGTGGCCATATGATCTTTACTGAGCTATGACCCTGTTCATCAACTCATTAGCTTGGCTTTGTAAGAATTATCTAGGCAACTTTTATGACTACAAATCACTGGGCTTTCCATGTGGAGATTTGGATTCAGTAGGTCTCAGGAGAGGCCCAGAGATCTGTATTTAGAAAAATCACTCTAGTTATTAACATCCACTCAGATTTGGGAAACATTCAATTGTATTCAAATAATCCCAGTTATGAAGCATAAATATGGGTTAAGAGAGCCATACCTTACTTCTCTTGTAGTTATTTTGAAAAGTTAAATGTTCCTGGCTTTATGCATTATTTCTTTCACAACTTATTGTGCTTTGGTTTCAAACGTGTGGTC